CACAACTTGAATGAGTTTTCATTTAGGGTGTTTATTTTATTAATTTTTTTATAAACAAAGCATCCAACAAAAAAAATGTCTATTTTCAGATTTTTTTTTTTTGTTCTTCCAGAATTTGCTTCCCAAAAGCTGCTTTTTGAATAATGAATAAAATCCAAAAAAACAACTTTTAAAATTTTGATCGCAAAAATAGAGAACCATAAGTTGCAAATATAGCACTTCAAACAGTTGGCAGCAACTATTAAATCCCTAAAAGATCCACAGAGCCACTAAATCCATTGCTTAAATAAATCAGAAAAACAAAAAATTATAATTTTACTATAAAGCAAAACTTTTATTACTAAAGGAAAAGAGTGAAATTACGATAGCCATTGGGAGTGAGGGGCCACCAAATTTGAAAAACTCATTCCATGGTATTGGTAAAAAAAAAAATCTTCCACGTTACTTCAATCACTTCCTTCTTAATCAGTCGTTAATGTTGGCTTCTACTATCACAAACAGATGTGAAAGAACAACAAAATGGATTGAGAAAAAATGGAGTAAGCAAAGCATGTCATGAATGGACACAATAAAATGATCTTAAAGAATTGAAGAAATAATGGAAACAAGCATGTTCCAAATAGGCAAGAAGGAATTATGAAATATACAATTTTTCTATTCCAATATAACTGAAATTGCTAAAAAAAACATATTTGCTCAATGTTTTTGGGGAAGTATTGCTACTCAAATCAAATATTCTTGAGCTACTATGAAATGTAAACTTTAAGAATAATATTTGACATTCATTATGACATTTAAAAGCTCTTACAGCCAAATATTATTTGCTTAGAGAATGCTAAGCTATCACCATCCATTCCATTAAAATTTGTATAGATGAAATTTTAAGCTACAATTCTCCGATGATAATAAATGAGGCTTAAGGCAAAGCATTAGGGTTTGAAATGACTATAATAATCCTTACGTTAGGACTACTAAAACCTTGATAAATATTTCCAAAGAAACATCACAATCAGACCATCCAAAAGACTATCAAATACATACTAAAACAAGTATCTTGTAGGGTCAAATTTAACCTTATTGAAGGCATTCTAGTTGATGAATATGTGATAAATGATATTAGAATTAAAATATGATCTCACAACTAATTTTATAAAATTGTATCTGACCAAAGTCCACATTAGATCATTGAGCTAAGATTATAGAAGACTTAAAATCTATATAAAAATTAAATTTGAACATGAGATCATTCCTAGACTTAAGTCCCATTTAGATTTTAAATTCATCCCTAATTTAAAACTGAACAGATAATGCATGCTGAACTAATAAATCAATTGAACAATTTGATAGTATAATTCCTATTAAGGTATGTAATGTAACTATCTAAGCATCCATGAACCAAAATATATTGATTTTGTTACATATTCTTGGCTTCATGCAAATGAACAAATAGAAATTTATGATGAAAGCCATATGGAATCGACATATCAAAGTATTTACTGATCAATATTTCATCATGATAATTCGTTATACCATCTGTATAGTTTTCTTTATAAAATTTATCGTTAAAACAAAAAATACAACCTATATAAATCAAATATATTTGTATAGTTGGGTCGTTATCACAAGAAATCTTTATTGAAATTAAGCATAAATATTAATCTTTATTCAGTTTCTCTCTTGGAATCAGTCATAGCAATATCCATGAGGAAGCATATATCTACTTTAGTATTATGGTTACAAGTAACATATCCTATTGTATTATCCATTAATTATATGCATAATTTTCATGAGAACATTTACAAGAAAATTGAACTTCATTATGAAAATTAAAAATCTAAGTTCAAAAAAAATAAAAATTCAAACTAATAGATAGGAATAAGATTCATCTAAGCCCTGAAAAGTTTTATAAAAAAATCCTTAACAAATTAATTAATAGAAAAATAAAACCAACGAATAAAAGAACAAATTGGGATGAATCTTACTAGTTGGAATTCTCCAAAAAATTTAGTACTACTCCAACAACTTTTATATCTTATTTATTTTATTAGTTAGAGTTCCCCAAAAAATTTAGTATTTCTACAACCACTTCTATATCTTATAAATTTTATACCATGAACCATCTACCGTTACATTAAATTATTCTCTATTTTCACCTCACTTGAAATACATATCCAACACATTTTATACACAATACTAAATTTTTTATATTCAACTTATTCTTGAAGCTATTATTGGAGATGGAGATTTTTTGGTATGGTTATCTTTTTTTTTTCTTTTTTTCTTTTTTTTGTTGCTTGTGCTATAGAGTGTTGTGTTATGATATTGTGTTGTCTATCAAAGTTACGGTTTGAAACCAAAAAATTGTGTATTGAAGCATTCTGTTTTCATGAAGTGAGGCATTAGACTCAAATCAAACCATAAATTTAAAACAAAAAAAAACAAAAAATAAAAAATTTAAGAATAATCCTTCTTAGGACCCAGCAATAAGTAATTTTATATAATTAGAGATTGATTTTCTATCAAAAAAAATTAAGGGTAATCCAAAAATAGCATGGCAAATAGTCGTACAAGTATTTGATAATAAGGAAAAATCTAAAATAAAGAAATAGACAAAAACAGGAGGTCTAAAATAAATAAGTAAACATGTTCGATAATAAATTAGTTCTCACTTAAAATTCTTAATTAAAAAGCCTTTGCCACTCTCACCACCAGAAACATCATTGTAGTTCATTTCTTTCTCGCATCCATCATCCTCACTTGTATCAATATACTCTCAATCTTGCATCATCTCCAATATTAACCATCTTCCTCTTCACTCATCAATAAAATTCAATAGGAATGTTATTTTAAACAACGATTATATTGATCTTATATAATTTCCATTATATGAATTTTATATTAACCCTTTTTATTACTTTTTGTTCATTTATCAAAATACTCGAAATTGAGATCTTCTCTTTGTAGTTTATAATACCACTTAGGCTTTAGACAGTTGAGTAAAAAAAATAAACATATTATAAACACTAAAATAAAAGTGTGTGCCTTAATAAATGTCTCATTGCACACCCAAAACAATTGAGGTGTTTACCCTATTCTCCCACTATGGACATAAGCCTCAAGGCGCATTGCATGCACCTTATATTGAAGCGCGCCTAAATTTGTGTATTTTAAACATTGTGTGAAATGAAAAATTGCTAGTATAATCATGTTAATTAATTTTCATAAGGATTGTAGTAGTTATGATTATATGGTAAGAAAAACCATTATGATGCTAATATAAGTATGCCAACTACCAAAATAAAGATATGACGAATTCATAAGTAGGTTGTTAACTTTCAAACAATGATATTCTTTTTAATAGTGGTTACACAAAAAACCTTAAAACTTTTTTGTTCAAGGAAGCAAAAACAAAAAATAGAAAGTTATACCAAGTGAAGAAGAAAACATGCCCGATGTTGGCAATGGATACCACAGATATCTAATAAATAAAAAGATAAGTCTGCATGATATCATTCATATTTTTTTCTAAAAAAAGTGCAACAAAAAAGCCAAGAACTACTTGATAATTATGAACTAGAGAATTTTTCAAAGTAAACTTTTTTACAAGCCAAGAAAGAGATCAAAGGATCAAACCCTTGGCGACTAGAATACCACTCTTGCAACCGTCTTAGCTTGGTTCTGCATTAGTAGATTTTGTCACTGCTTTTCTTGGTAGCCTTTTGTTGCATCACTCACATGATTTTCATAATCATTTAGTGACTTTGCAGGAGTAATTATATGGTGTTCTTTTCAATATGGACCTAAGATCTCAATTACTCGGCATTGCCTTAAATGCTAAATTATTGAGCTAGCAAGATTTCCTCTATTATCGGGATGTTCTTATTTATGGCAATAGTCAGGCAATTTTTTCATGTACTATCGGGTTTTACATGTTGGCAATTGACTCTTTCACAAATAATTTTGTTTATATTGTAACAAATGGATGGGAATTCCATTAAATTTTATAATTATAAAGAGAGGTCTTAGACTTGTACAAAAAAGAAAAAATAAATAATATTAGTTTAAATTAAATTTTAGTTAAATGTGTTTTTACTTCTACTTCCAAGGACAAAATCTGTGATAAAGTAGGAGACCTATGATTTTCAATAGAGGTTATATACATAACCACACATGGGGCCTGATTGTACCATTGTGTGATTGGTTTTATTAAAATCCAGTTGGGCCTCAAAGAGTGCAAGGATTTAATTCTTTGAATGGCTTTCTCGGTTGTAAATTCCTAAGTGTTATTTATAATTGCAGACTATCTAATTTGATTCTTAGTTCACTATCTAATTTGATTCTTAGTTCTTTGAATTTTCAAAGAAAAGAATGAACATTGTCAATATAAAGTTTGTACGAACAAAGTTTTGTGTATATTGCATGATTATAAACATCTAGCAAAAGATATGCATTTTAAACCCTATACTGAAAGATGCTTTTACATTAAAGATATATGATCAAATTGTAATAATTCCCAAAAAAAAATTTTACCGCCTTAGTTATAAAGTAGTGAAGTTTATGGAACCCACGTAGGTACAGGGAGAATTAATCCTATTGTTAATACATCTAGGTGAAAGGCATATTAGTTTAAAAAAAAGCTATCATAAGAGATGCCACCCATTATGTAACAAGTGGGACAACCTAACTGTTTAACTTCAACTAGAAACAAGCACACAAAAAGTCCATAAATCTAGCTTGCCCGCAGCAATTTTAGCCAATTTTCGTTTCAAAAAGATAAAATGAAACTAGAACTGAAAATCAAGAAAAAAGATCAGGGAAAATCAAATACAATGTTGAAAATTCATCATGTAAAAAAGACTGAATTCATGATGTGATACAAAGCACGCATGTCTTTCCACTCTATGCTGTCTGTAATTTATGTAATTTAAAGGGAAATATAAATGAGACAATATCTGAAAATTACAAGAAAAAAATATACATATTAGATTTGCGAGTAACACCTGGCTTTTAGAAGTAACAAAATGGTGAAGACTTCCAAACTATTATATCCTCGATCAACAAAATCACCCTGGCATAAATTTAAGAGAGTTAATTACAAGAAGCCCAAATTAAGAATCACTGAATAATAAAATTATCAAATTGGGTGACAATGAAGCAAGAAATACTTGCCATAAAGATGTAATTAGTCTCTGGAACATGACCTCCAGTTTGAAAGAGTTTCATTAGGTCATGAAACTGACCATGAATATCTCCACAAACAGTTACAGGGCTATTGACAGGTTGTACATTTGACTCTTCAATAAGAATTTCTTTCACCTGATGGATTACCAAAAAAAAGTTCAGAACAGTGGTATTTTTTGTGAAACTAAGGTAGCCATTGATGATGATGACAAGAAAACAGAAAAAAACAAATTAAGTTTCAGAAATCCAAACAAGAGTACAACAATTTTATCCAAAATTTGAGTGAAGATCAATAAATATAGCAATTATAATCTAGCAAACCCAGTAAACTTCTAGAATAAACAGTTAAAGCAAGTTCAGCATTAACGATGGAAAGCAACTACTTGTATTTCACATCGAAAGAACATATGCCCATGCGTAAACTACAAATTATTCATAAGAAATGAGGCTAAATGTGTGTTTTTCATTATTTTTTCTCTTTTTTCTTCTTACTCTTTTTTTTCTTTTTCTCCTCCTTTTTTTCACCCGCTACTAACTCCTAACTTTTAATGAGCCAGGTCCAACAGTATGTTGCAAGAAAATAATTCCATGACAACTTCAACCTATTTTTTGAGCAACTGAATAAAACACATCACACAATTCTTCTGTATTTACAATTCTAACAGCTAAACATTCATAATTACAAGCATACCGCTCAAATCTTTAACCTCACATCAAAAATACGACCGTCATTACCTTTTTAAAAGTTAAATACACGGTTTATAGCACCAAGGTTTTATAAGTCTAAATACCAAACTTTGGTTGTTAGAATGTATGTAAATTTCCCATAATAAAAATAGTTCAACAGGTGCATGATCTACAATTTTAAGCAGGAAGAGACAAGTTTAGAATCACTAAAACACAGTTTCTATCTGACTGCTCGTATAATTGATGTCAATTATCAGTTCAACCCCAAGATCTAAGCCACCTAGTTATTATAGTTAACTACATCTGCAAACGTTTTGGAAATATTGCATTAATTCTATCATATATATCGCATGAAATATGTAACATAAAACCTAAAAACATTATTCTTTGAAAGGCGGGGAGATTCCCTTCCATGATTGAGCCAGCCATCGAGCCATAATAGATAAACAAAACAGACCACGTGTCATGCATTTTTCATTAGCTTAGCATCAAATATCCAGATTCACCGAAAAGGCGAAGAAAGGTCTAGGGCACGGGAGTAGAGCTCCGATAACAAGAGGACCAGGCTTGCGAAACCCTGATTTATGCTAAAACCCTTGTGTACAAAGGCGAATTTATCCTAGAAACCTAAAACGAGTAGAGTGGCCGCAGGAAATGCTCAACAACAGATTAAAAAACTGAAATTTCAGAGAAACGGAGGTTGTGGGCTTACATATTCACAGAGGAGCTGGAGTTCGTCTTCCATTAGATGCTGGCCCTCCTTAACCTTAGATATCCAGGTATCCAAGTCCATCGCTCTCCGGCCGCCTCTCTCCCTTGAAGTTTGATTGAAGAAGAAAAATCGAAGGCGATGAGAGGAAGCAGAAATCGAATGCAAGCCAGGGCACCACTAGAAGGGAAGCGATATCGGGAAATTTGCGAGCGCAAAAAGAAAAAAAAAATTAAGGATTTTTATGTTGGGGCGTTTACATAAATTCAACCCAATGTTAAGGTATTTACATATCTAAGCTCTAAATTTTATATTTAATATTAATATCACCTAAATTATTTTATAGCATATCAAAAACATCATCAATTTATTTTCTTGAGGCTCTGTTAGGCGCAGCTGTTGCTTCTCAGCTTTTCAGCTGCAGCTGCGCTGCCCCAGGAAGCAGCTGTGAGGAAGCAGTTGCGGGGAAGCTGACTGTCTGTTTGGTGCAGCTGCATGAAACTAGTTGTCGGGCAGTTGTTAATGAAAAAAAGAACATACTGCTTCTGTTTGGTAAAACTGTTTAAAAGAAAAATATAACAATCATTTTTTTTTACTTTAGTAAGCCCCGAAAGTGCTAACAACTTATGTTTATGAATAATAACACATATGCAACACAATCTTATATATTTACATATCCAACACATAAACTTTGAAGTTTTACGAATATTTGCATAGCCACCAAAGATAGAGCACATCAGCCACAGATAATAATTCTACGCCTTAAATACTTCCTTGTAAGTGGAATATATATGACAGAGTTCACTATCATGGCAATAATGGTTCCTACATCTGCAAACGATATATTTTTATGCATGTATAAAAGATGTCATAGATAAAGATTGAAGTTCAAGGTAATATTCCTTTAATTTTATGGATGAATTCCAAATAAAAAATAGTCAAATAAAAATTTATACAAATTCAATTTGACCTTAATAAATTATCAAATATTTCCAATAAATTTAATGGCGCCTGATGAAATTATTAGTCTCAGTATTTTTAAATACATAACAATTGTTTGATTATTTGATACGGAACCTCGAACATGTACATGATATAATTCTTGAAGAATTATAGCACATTGTGAGCTTTAACTTATTGTGAAAGATTACTTTCTGCCCACATAGAAAAATAATTGATTTTAACCAAAATAAACATAAGTATTTTAGAAAATTGAGGTCAATAAGGCCTATAACTCTTGAAAGGTCATGAGGTTGAAAGAAAGCAAGACAAATTTTTAAAATACATTTACGTATCTAACTTTTTGAAGTAGCACAAGTCTTAAAGAGATATCATGAATACAATATGATTCATCACATATCAAAATCAAATAAGCACAAAGGAATTGGTTCTTAAACATGTTGAGAGAAAGCCAAACAAAATTTATTGAAAAATTAAAGTGTTATGTTCCTTCAATCCTTACTGGTACAATGATCTCGACTGGATTTATTCACTCACACACTCACATTGTAGAAAACACACTAACAATGTAGAAAACACACTCACTACTCACTCTAAAAACACTTTCATGCACACACATTCTCGAGATCTTCCAAGCCTTCCTGAATGTGAATGTTGCTCTCCAACTCTCACCCCAAGTATGTCCATCCACTAAATGAAGAAATTTTGTTACTTTAAGTGTTGCATTCACCTTGACCATCATCTGAACCTACAAAGGGGTGCAGACACATGTTATCAATGTATGGAAATAAAGTTTGTCAATCAGATATTTTAAGATTAATCACTAGAGGAGTCGCAAACAAAAATCTATTAATCTTATTTTGAATGACACTAAATAGATTTTAAATATATAAATTATTTTGGTTGATCAAATATGGAGTGGGAATATTATACTACCTTAAAAGGTAGAAATATCACTCCATCATAGACTCAATCACTCAAATAAAGAATTTTACCTAGTTAAATAATAGATTTTACACAAGCGAAAAAAATATATATGGTTTATTTTAATTTGGGTTATAAGTTTCTTATAAGAGCAATCCTCTATAGTTAATTACAACTTAAGAGAATTTTTCTCTTAAGAAAACTCGCTATTAAGTTTGTGGCTTAAGTCTCCAAAATAAAGTTAAGTTTTCAAGATTATTATTAGGAATTTTAAATTGGGATAGTTCAATTTCGAATAATTCTTTTAACATTCAAATAGGAGAAAAAACAAAAAGTGCTTAGATAACGATAAACTCAGTAGCATTTCAACTATCTTATGGTTGATATCTAATAATTTTAAAATAAAAAATTTATTTGTTTTAGTTGATCATTTTATTGAAAAATTAAGATTTATATCCTAATGACATCATATCATGTGAAAGCCTAGGAGGTGAGTGCTTATGTCTTAGCAAAGTGAACATCCTCATAACCTTAAGGCTAAAAGTGAGTTCTACTAATCCAGTAGAGCTTTGAACCTAGTCTAATAAAGTTAAAAATTGGACTTATGACTCGGTCTTATATTGGACAAAATCAAATCTGACTACTAAACTTACAATCATGCCTAGAAATTATTATCAACCAAACCACTTAATGTCTTAAATTCAAAAGCTTTACTCATATGAAATAAATGATATATCATGATGTTGATTATTAAGATGGAGATGGATAGGTCTTATAACTAAATTATTAAAATCATGTAGCCTAATTATGTTATGTATGTTATGCATATAACTAATGCAATATTTATATTTTGATATTTAAATTTATCTTTGACTTATATAAAACAATTTATAAATTTGGTTGGATGAAATAATTGATTTGGTTTTATTTAATGTTGCATGTTGTTCTCAGTAGGTTGTGTAAGGAGTATGCATGTGTGAAAAATTTTAAGGCTAATTTTAGTAAAACTATACATACATACATATATATATATAACTATATATGTATGTATATATATAGTTATATCAAAATTCACTATGATTTTATATATATAT